CTATGTGTTTTTTGTGGTTTTTTTATACAGTAGATTATACATTTTTATTTCTGTAGTGTTTTAAAGGTTTTAATAAGTTTAAAGCCATTTTACTTATCAGCTGCAGTACACAATGGTAACCACTGGGTGCTGCTGTAAAGCAAAATATGAATCACCGAAAATTTGAAGTATCCGGGACCATCGTTGCTGCATTTTCCTTCCTTCCTTCCATCCATACAGCTTCTAACCGCTTATCCTGCTCGGGGATTAACTTTGTTTTTTAGCCTTGATTGTCTGTAAAAGTAGTAAAATCATTTCGACTGCGGAAACAGAAGAAATAATGCAGCATATATAAAACACTGCAAAAGGTTTAGTCAGGGTGTAATTATCTTTATTAATACCAACGCAGATTTCGTTCCATTCTAAGTTTGTAATTATCTATAATTATCTGCTAGCAATATAAATAATGCAAACTGTACAGCATTGAACTTGTGTCTGGAAATTTGACAATAAGACTCCAGATCGGCTTGATGACAAGGGAAAAAACTTTTTTGTTTCTCTCACATAAGGACAGTACATATTTGAAAGCTCGCGTTGCGCCAAGCTCACCCCTCTCTGCTCATGACTCCCACGTTGCAAAACTTCAGACAATAATCGCAGTTGCTATGGCAAACGTCTGCCCATTCATTGTCACGCAGAGTGCTCCTAAAATGCATCACATGAAACATTCAGTTATCTCCATAGCGGGCTAGCAAGAAAAGCAGCGGCATTTCTTCCTTATTAAATTTACCCGCGACCACTTCCAGTCACACTTAAGTAGGTTGTCATATATATAAATACCGCCACTTTGAAGCAAACAACACTGGCAAGCATTTATGTATTCGAATGCAAGGGGCACTAAAAGAGGCAATATCAGCGATGCGTTACTTCCACTAAATATACTGCACGATGTGCATCGGGATTTGCAGCTTACTGCATTAAATAAACCTTTTTCCATTACAGATACAAGGAAGACTGGGCGTTTTTAATATATCGCTGATTTAAAAGCATATACCACATTTCTTCTCACAATTCTTTACAACATTGAACTTGTGTTTGGAAATTTGACAATAAGTGAAACACTTTTCACAATAACGAACTTGCAGTTATACATTTAATTAACTGATTTATAGTCAGCCTTGTCCTATTTTTATCTTCCCACTTAAGAAGTCCAGATGCAGGCTACCGCCGTTCGCAAGTTTAATAAATGAAAGACAGAAGATGCACAAATACATGCAAGAAACATCCTGTGGATCAGCTCCTTTAGCTGGTCCAAGTCCCAGACTGTTTACCCCTCTAGTGCACAGTGGTTTCTGTGGAAATGTGGCCAAGTGGCAGGAAGTGTTTTTCCAGCCAAAACAGATAAATTAGCCATGTGCTGGGTCTATGATCAAAGCATTTGCAGGATAAGAGACATAAGCTGGTTCTTTGACAAACGGTTTCAACCTCAGACAGGCAGTTTTCGCCTCAGACATCTTTTATATAAAACATATGAAGCAACCAGAAACAATGGAGGGAACATGAAGGGGTCAACATTAAGTTCTGGCAGTACCACGGACAGCATATTCCTCTAATTAAGACCTTTCGCTACAGGGCACAGTAAGTATATACCATGTTATTTGCAGAAAGAAAAATAAATGATTCAGGAGCTGGACTTTCTGAATTCCAAGCAGAGCATTTTACCTGAACGGGGACGGTCACGGTGTGCAGCTCAGTGGGTGCAGAGGCTGTGCCTATGAGTAGAAGGTTGCCGGTGTTCTGTCGATTAATGCTGCCTTGTCGAAAAATGCTACCGTAGTGCTAATCGATAGCCCTAACCCTAACTCTTACCCTATCCCCCCAAAACACCCTAAAACCCTTACCGTAACCCTAATCCCAAGACGGTGGAACTGCACATGCGCAGAAAGGCTTGATAGCACGTCTCGATAGGTAGTATTTTTCGACAGAACAACGGGTCGAATCCTGTGGTCGGCAGAATGATTTCACCGTTGGGCCTCTGAGCAAGACTCCTAACCCCAATTGCTTCAGCGACCGTCTGATCTCGCTTTCTCAATTGTATGTCATTTCGGATAAACTCGTCTGCCAAATAAATGAAATGTAACTGTGTCATATTATAAAAA